GCGGTGATACTGACCACACCCTGCCTGGAGCGGGGTTTGCTGGATTGCTGTTTGTCTCTCTGACTGCGACCTCTTCACAGGCAAAGGGCAAAGTCATTCCTCTTTGCGTCCCAGCAGCACCAGGGATGGTGACAGGAGGTGAGAGCTCAGGTTCACTGAACAATGCACATCCTCGCTGCGCCCCCTGGTGGGCTGTTTTGTCAGTGCTGTTGGTGGCACCTAGAACCTGAGGCACCAGGGGAATGCGGTAGAAATCCGTTTCCCTGCATGTCCTTTGACATCTTATAATAAAAAACGATAACGCCAGCAGACCTGTCAAGACGGTTGCTGTGATTTCAGATTATAGTGCTAATAAGAGAATATGAATAATTTTATCAAACTAGGTTTAAAAGTGAAATTTCCCTGACAGTAGACAATGACCTTCCGCCAGCCTTCCCAAGCGTGAGACTCCAGACCACACATACCAGGCCACTCAGGGCTTTGTAATTCAGGAAGTTACTGGCCTAGAACAAAGACCAAACTTTAAGAGCCAAGGGATCTTAAAGGTTCTTTTGCTGATTCCTCGGTCCCTCTCAGTCACCTGGGACAGAGTTTTTTAAAAGTCAGGTGTGCCCAGCCAGTGTGGCTCAGGGGTTGAGTGCCGACCTATGAACAGGAGGTTACCGTTCGATTCCTGGTCAGGCACATGCCAGGGTTGCGGGCTTGATCACCGGTGGAGGGTGTGCAGGAGGCAGCTTATCAGTGATTCTCAGCATTATGTTCCTATACCCCTCTCCCTCTCTATAATCAATTATAGAGGACCATTTCCTCTTGGTTGTTCCAGAGTACCTCGGCGATGTCTGAAAGTGATGTTGCACTCTGGCTGGGTAGCTCAGCTGGTTAGAACCCCCCATCTCCTGTTAGGCACTGACAAGATTCAACCAGTGAATGCATACATAACTGGGACAACAAATTGATCATGCTCTTTCTGTCTCTCCCTAAAGCCAATCAGCCAATGAGAACGTGTACCCTGCAGGGTGGCTCAGCTGGTTGGGCATCATCCTGTGCACAGAAACATTTACTAAAAGACCCAGCTCTGGCTATCTATCCCTCTTCCTTCCTCTCTGTGAAAAATCAATTATATATATAATTTATTTTGTACAGAGAAGAAGGGAGAGAGACAGAGAGTTAGAAACGTCGATGAGAGAGAATCATCGACCAGCTGCCTCCTGCACACTCCCTACTGGGGATGTGCCCGCAACCAAGGTACATGCCCCTGGCCGGAATCGAACCCAGGACCCTTCAGTCCGCAGATCGGTGCTCTATCCATTGAGCCAAACCGGTTTTGACCCAGCACAATTTTTTAACAGATAAATACATACAGAGTACATATTGGGATAGTTTTTCACAGAGGGGAAGGGACGGAAGTTGATACTTTCTAGTTAGCCTGTGTTTAGTCTGAAAACATCAACCCCTCTCTATCAGCAAGGGGCTCTCCCGTTCCCTCTCCGAAAGGGAACAGGAGGAAGCTCAGTATCTGCTCGCACCCCCACCCCACCCCGGTCGGGGCCCAGCTGCCACCTGGACCCGCACCATCAGTTTTAGGGGTCCCGGGAACGAATGCCCCCCTCCTGGGAAAAATAGCAAGTCACACACGGGCCAAGCTAGCAACTTTCTGTTGCACAGGACAATGCTCCATCAGCTGAGCCACACCGGCCAGGGCTAAGCCTCAATTTCTTGATCTATAAAATGAGAGAAGCTGATTTTAAAATCTCCAATGTCCTTTTTTATTTTTCTGACTGACATTTGATGATTTTGATTTTCCTGAGGCTTTCTCACATATTTCGTGTAAAGCAAAACACGAGAAAATTCTCTTCCCATGGAGCAGGCCCATTAAGAAAAGTGCAATCACTGGGGGGAGAGGGGGGAGGCGCTGCTTACACACTCACTCGCCCTCAGGCTGTGCCATCCCGCTTTGCAGGGGACTGAGGCTCAGGGAGGGCATTCTCCCAGCTCCCGGGCCTTTGGGAGGGGAGCAGGGAGGCCCACAGCTTCCAGGCTGCACCCCTTCCAGCCGCCCCCCTCCCCCTGTCCTTCTCCCCCCGTCCACTTTCCCTGCCACCAAAGGCTGCAGGCGTCCTGACACCCAGTGGGGATGTTCCCTAAGGTCCCTGACGCCCAGTGGGGATGTTCCCTAAGGTCCCTGACGCCCAGTGGGGATGTTCCCTAAGGTCCCTGACGCCCAGTGGGGATGTTCCCTAAGGTCCCTGACACCCAGTGGGGATGTTCCCTAAGGTCCCTGACGCCCAGTGGGGATGTTCCCTAAGGTCCCTGACACCCAGTGGGGATGTTCCCTAAGATCCCTGACACTCGTGGTTCTGCCACTAACTAGCTTTGTGCCTCGACATTTCAATTCCTGAGGCTGTAGTTTCCTCGTAATTGAATGTTGATGAACTTGAGGGCTTCCTAATGCAGATGGGGCCTGGATGCCAGGACCCCAGGCTGGCCCCGGGTGCAGGTGGTCCCTTCCGCTCACCCACCGGGGAGCCCCAGCATTGCCGAGCTGGGTTACACATGCCCAGCGCCTGCCCTTTAGGCCACAGGCCGGGCTGTGGGGGTAGGAAGCGCAGAGGGACCTGGGAAATGCAGGGATCCCATGGCCTGATCCGGGAGGGAGGCGCAGGGGCGACCAGAGGCCCGCACTGACCTTGAGGCTCCTCTCGCCATGTCCCTGCCCCTACCTAATCCCAGGGTATAAATAGAACTGGCGCTGACCAAGCACCCCCCCCCCCTTCCCTTCCTTTGGGGGCATCAACCAAACCTGAGCCTCTGACTCCCTCTAGTGGCTCAAGCCAGCACTGCTGTTTGCATCTCTGCAGGGCACAGGAGGGCCGGCTGTGGCCGATGGCAGCGGGCTCTGGAGCTCTGCCCGGGCCGCTGGCCCCGTGTGAGCACCGCCGGGACAGGGCCAGGACCCTCCGCGGAGCTCAGCCTGTGCGCGCACAGCTCTCCCCGCTCCCGCGGCGGGTGGGGCTGAGGAAGGACGGGTGGGGGTAGCCGGCCGCTGAAGCAGCAGGACGGGGGCCTCTGGCTGCTCGTTGGTAAATGAGTGCCTGGCTTAGAGTCACATCCACCGGCGAGTATTAGCACCGCGGTGTGTGAGGCCGGGGCGGGGCGGGGCGAGGAGTGCGTGGGGTGCGTGGGGTGCAGAGGAGTACGTAGGGTGCAGAGGGGTGCGTGGGGTGCAGAGGGGTGCCATGGGGTGCGGGGGGTGCAGTGGGGTGCAGTGGGGTGCGTGGGGAGTGGTGCTTACTTTCAAGGCGCCTCCTGGCTGAGGGGCGCAGGCCTCCGGGAGCCAGGAGATGACCGGGCTGAGCGGGTGAGAGGCCTGCGGCGCCGCTGCCCCCTCCCTGTCGCCCTGTGACCCTGCTGCGTGGCTCCTCCCTCCGTGCGGAGAGCAGTCCTCCCGCACAATCTGAGGCCCGGTCCCTGCCAAGCTCCCGGGCTCACCGGGAGGGGGGACAGCCCATGGCAGCGCCGGGCCTCAGCCCAAACCTCAGACTCAGAAAGGCTGAGAAGGCAGTAAGAGGCGAGGCCGCGCCGCTCAGCCAGCCCACCGGCTCCGTTCTCTGCAGAACCTGGGGAGCCCCCTGTGCTGGTGTGAGCCGCGGGGCGGGGGGCTCCCCCCGGCCAGCCTGCAGCCTCCTGCTCGCCCCTCACTCTGTCCCCGCGGGGGGCACAGCCCTCCACCCGCTCCGGGCCGCGCTGGGGGGGAGGCTGGGGCCGAGGAAGGCCTCCCTCAGCGCTGGGGCCGCTTTCACTCCGAGGCTGGATCATGTTGCTGCGTCGGGAATGGCTTGAAATAGATCGTTTTTCACACTCTGCTCTTTAAAAAGAAAACTTAGATTGATTTCCAAGAGAGGAAGGTAGAGGAGAGATAGAGACATCAGTGTGAGAGAGAACCATTGATGGGCTGCCCCCTGCACGGCCCCCACTGGGAATCTAACCATGACCTCCTGGTTCATAGGTTGATGCCCAATCACTGAGCCACACCGACAGGGCCACGCTTTGAGATATATATCTGATTTCAGAGAGGAAGGGGGAGAGAGAGAAAAGCATCAGTGATGAGACTGAACCATGGATCGGCTGCCTTCTGCACCCTCCACTGGGGATTGAATCTGCAACCTGAGCAAGTGCCCTTGACCAGAATGGAACCCAGGGCCTTTCAGTCCTCAGAGCGAACCCCTGGGGCCGCCTTGCTTCTTCATTGCCGTTAAGGAGACAAGGAAGAGCCAGAGACAAGCACGGCTTGAGTGCCAGCCACATCAGACCCGGGCTCTGGGGGTTCCTCCGCAGTAATCCATCGGCCACGGGCTCCGTGGCCTTCAGGGTCAGCAGTGCCAGCGCCCCGGGGGCACAGAGAGGTAACAGGAAGGAGGGGAGCAGGGCCCAGCCTCCCCAGGACGCCCTCCCTGTGGGAGGGAAAGCGGAGGGAAGAACGTGGGGAGTGCCGCTGGCTCGGTGGGTGTGGGTCAGTGGGGGATGGAACCGAGGTGTGACTCAGTCCTGCTGTGGACAGAAGGGCTGGACCGCGGGTGTGAGAGCGGACAGACTGGGAGACCAGCTGGAGGGACGAGAGGAGGAAGGGGCGCTGCCCTCCAGCCCGCTTGTCCCTGGGGCAGGCCTGCCCCTCCTCTGGCCGGAGGCAACCTGGCCCCGGAGGCCCTGCGGGGGGCGGGGGAGCGGGAGGCGGCCTGGCCCTGAGGAGCTAACCCTGTGCCCTTCTGGTTTCCGTCCATTGGAAGCCTCTGCCGGTGGGGAGAGAAAACAAGTGATTGTGGACTGGAGAGGGGGGTGAGGGGGGATGAGGAGCTGGCCGGAGGCCCTGCTGCTAGGCTTCGGGTCGGGGTTCTCTCAGCGCCGGGCCGGGCCTGGCACAGGCACAGCCGGGGTCAGTGGTCAGTTTGCTCCCACACGGCCTGCCCTGCCGGTCCCGCCACTCACGGGCTCTCCTCTTGCAGTGTCCTGCTGTGTGGGCGCCTCGGGGGCTTACACTGAGATCAAGAAAGTGGCGGAGGAGAAGGTCACCCTGCCCTGCCACCATCAGCTGGGCCTCCAAGAGAAGGGCGCCCTGGACATCGAGTGGCTGCTCACCGACAGCAAAGGGAGCCAGAAGGCGGTAAGTGCCGCCTCCCCTAGCACACCCCCGCCTCTCCCCCGGCCACGCCCCTGCCTCTCCCCCGGCCACGCCCCCGCCTCTCCCCCTGGCCACGCCCCCGCCTCTCCCCCGGCCACGCCCCCGCCTCTCCCCGGCCACGCCCCACCTCTCCCCTGGCCACGCCCTGCCTCTCCCCTGGCCACGCCCCTGCCTCTCCCCCTGGCCACACCCCCGCCTCTCCCCCTGGCCACGCCCTGCCTCTCCCCCGGCCACGCCCCCGCCTCTCCCCCTGGCCACGCCCCTGCCTCTCCCCTGGCCACGCCCCCGCCTCTCCCTGGCCACGCCCCCGTCTCTCCTCGGCCACACCCTGCCTCTCCCCTGGCCACGCCCCCGCCTCTCCCCGGCCACGCCCCCGCCTCTCCCCCGGCCACGCCCCCGCCTCTCCCCCGGCCACGCCCCCGCCTCTGCCCCTCGCCACCCCCTCACTTCTCCTCAGCCCTCCTGTTTCTCATGGGGCCACAAAGGGCTAGAATTGCTTTTTGCCTTTTTGTAACCCTCACTCCAGTACATGTTTTTTAATCTTTAGAAAGAGCGGAAGGGAGAGAAGCAGCCATCAGTTGCCTCCGTACGTGCCCCAACCGGGGATCAACCTGAAACGCAGTCTGTGCCTTGGCGGGGCAGGGGGCTGGCATCCTCTGGGGGTATGGCCGATGCTGCAACGGCCGAGCCGCAGGCCGGCGGGAACTGCTTTTATCTGGCAGAGGTCAGACTCCGGACAGGGAACTAAACAGAGAGCGTGTTGGGTCATGAGGATGACGTCTGTTCTCTGGGGGAAGCAGGCGCTGCTGGCAAGCCCTCTGTCACTGCCCACCAGGGAGCCTGCGCCCTGGATGTCCATCTCAGAGGGGCTCCCCCTGGCAGTCCTGACTGACACCCTCTGCGATGGGGTCGTTCGGTAAACACAGGACACAGAGGAGCAAGCACAGGACACGCGTGCAATGGTTAGCCTGTAACCGCCAGCGAAGGAACAGTGCCCACGCCGCAGCTGGGAACCGAAGGAGCTGGCCCGGGTCTGGCGTGCAGGTGCCTGGGCCGCCGGGCCGGCACTGGGCGGGACGCCGGGCCCTGTGAGCAGGCCTCGCGGCACCTGCTCCTCTCAATCCCGGGCTGGCCCTCCGGGGGCTGAGAATAGTAACCTGTTTTCCCCTTCCTGCCCTGGGGGTATGGTCGATGCCGCCGCGGACCCCTCAGCCTCGCTGCCAGCATGACTGTCCTCCCCGCCTTTACCCATTGACTTATTGTTTTAAAATAGATTTCATTGATTTCAGAGAAGAAGGGAGAGGGAGAGGGAAATAGAAACATCCGTGATGAGAGAGAATCATGGATCCGCTGCCTCCTGCACGCCCCACGCTGGGGATGGAGCCCACAACCCAGGCCTGTGCCCTGACCGGGAATCAAACCGTGACCTCCTGGTTCTGGGTCAACGCTCAACCACGGAGCCCCACCGGGTGGACTGCTTTAATTTTTGTGATGAAAGTTTTGCGATTTTTTAAAAAAAAATGTCTATAACCATGAAGCTGGCCTTAGATTTTCCTTCTCCTACAGAACTTTACCATTTCCCAACTAAAAAGCGAAACGCTGTCCTTTCCTCTCTCCACTGTCTACGTTTTTGTCATAAGATGGTTTTCACGAGCAGAAGCTAAGGTTTTCACTGAAAATGGCTCACAGGATCCCTGTGGGGTTTAACCTGCTTAGAGGGCCGCCCGCGTCGCCTGGGGATTTTGATCCCGCTTGTCATTTTGTTCTGTCGTCGCCCACGGCTCTGTTCTCTGCGGAGCAAGGTCACCCTAACCTGAGCCTGTCTCGTCAGTCCCACTTCCGAGCGAGCCAGAGGAGGGCGGTCTGCTCTAATAAAAACCAGGACTGGCTCCTCTCGCCCAACTTTCCCCCACATGCTCTTACTAAACTGAGAAGACAGAGTGCTTGGTCACGTGGCCAAGTGAGCCCAGGGGTCAGGAGGCCTCTGGTGAGGACAAACCACCGCTACTGCTTCTGGCGTCACCCTGACGCCAGGCCGCGCCGCTCCTCCCCCGGCCTCACTGTACAGTGAGGCGTCCCCTCCGCGCAGCTCTGTCCACGTCTGAAGGGTTTGATGGTCGTGGAGAGCTAGCCTCTGCAGAAGGTGGGTAAGGCAGATGTCTTGAATGACCTTTCATGGAGGTTCGCCTAGTGACTTAGTCCAACCTCGTGAAGCCTGCACCTGGGCGCTGACCGAACCCTGGCTGCACAGGGTGAGGCCCCACTTGCCCATCAGTCCGGCGGCTTGAGCCGAAGGCCAGAAAGAACCCCGACCGATACTCTCAGCTGGCGACCCATCCTGCTCTCTCTGAAGCCAGGAGGCCAGAGGCCAGACAGCAGTTCAGGCTGCACTTACCCACATGCCCCGCGAGGCCCTGGGGTGCAGAGTGAGAGAGACACCGGGCCCCCAGCTCCTTGGACCACGAAGTAATTAGGAACATATATGCACGTGTACGCAGAGCACGGTGTCTGTTGGCTACATGCCATGTAAAGGCCGTTGAGCACATATGACATAATTCGACGGCGCCCGTGGGACCGTTGGTCGCATTTACACCCCAGGAGCTGAGGCTGAGCGCACAGGAGAGCGGTGCTGAAGGTCGCCCACTTTGCATTATGGAACCAGGCACTCTGGCGCGGGTTCCACTAGCTGTGCTGCCTTTTTTTTTTTTTTTTTTTTTTTAATATATTTTATTGATTTTTTACAGAGAGGAAGAGAGAGGGATAGAAAGTTAGAAACATCAATGAAAGAGAATCATCGATCAGCCGCCTCTTGCACGCCCCCCACTGGGGATGTGCCCGCAACCAAGGTACATGCCCTTGACTGGAATCGAACCTGGGACCCTCCAGTCCGCAGGCCGGCGCTCTATCTATTGAGCCAAACCAGTTTGGGCTGTGCTGCCTTCTTAAATACTGTGACATTATACCACGTGCTCTGCAGGAAGTAAGGAGGATGCAAGGAGAAATTATTCCAGACAGAATTAGTTATGCAAAGACCCGATGCTGAAAACAGCTTGGAACTACTGGAAGTTCTAAAAGATTAAAAATCGATTTAGTATACACCAATGTTACCTCAATAAAACAAAAAATCTATTTCTTTAAATTCGGTAAACGGGGACTCCGCTGTCCAGGCCCCCTCTCTGCGGCAGCGTGGTGGAGAAGCCAGTGTCAGCATCGGGATCAGAGGCTGTTCCAGGTGGAGACGGGGACCCACTGGCCAGAGCAGCTGCTGGCGGGGGGAGGGCAGCACGTGCTTCGTGTGAGAAGGTGCCTCTGACAGAAACTGAAGAGGCACCTCTGGGTGCCGGGGGAAGGCGGGCCTGGGGTCTGGGAGCCGCAGAGCGGTGGACGCGCAGCACACATCCTGAGCCTGCGGCAGGGGCAGGCCGGAACAGGGAGGCGTATGCATGCGAGGGAGCTTACACTTTCTCCTCGGATGCCATGGAGGTTTGAAGGATTTTAAGAGCGAAGGGACATGTGCATTTTAAAGCAATCACTCTGGCACCGTGCGGCACGCTGGGTCAATTGGGGGCTCGAGTAGAAACAATATCAGGTAAACGATTCAGGCTATGCAAGGCCAAGCCTGCAGTTATGGAGGCTGGGCTGTAAAGAAAGGGTTAATCAAAATGTAGTATGTAGCTCTCACCAGTTTGGCTCAGTGGATAAAGCATTGGCCTGCAGACTGAGGGGTCCCAGGTTCGATTCCGGTCAAGGGCATGTACCTTGGTTGTGGGCACATCCCCAGTAGGGGGTGTGCAGGAGGCAGCTGATCGGTGTTTCTCTCTCATCGATGTTTTTAACTCTCTATTTCTCTCCCTTCCTCTCTGTATAAAATAAGTAAAGTATATATGTTTTTAAATGTAGTATGCAAAGTGGCCAAGCTTGTTCGTGGCCAGGAGCTGGGGTAAGAGTAAGGTAGCTGAGAAAGGAGGGGGCTGGAATGGGTGTGGCACAGAAGGCAGGCTAACCAGGCCGTGAACCCAAGTCCAGCTTTGCGTTTGGATCTGAGCAGCGTGCCTCCTCCGGTGAGTGGGACGCACAGATCCGCAGGGAGCGTTTGGGCTGGTCAGCAGGCTCAGTGAATTTCAGCCTCGACCGGATGACATTAGACGCCAGAGCTTTCCTTCCGGTTCTAGGGATGGAAACAGTAGAATTTCCAAAGCCAGAAGGACTGCCTCCCCCAGGGTCAGTCAGGGACACGGGAGGAACCTTTCCCCTCTGTTTTCAGATGGAGACATTGGGACAAAGTGTTCCAATCCCTGTGCCAAGCCTCCCGGCCACGCCTCCACCCTCTCCTCTCCCTTTAGATCAGCAAAACCCCGATCTAAACGGAGGGGGCTGGCATCTGCCGCTCTGCGGGGCCTGGGACCAGGGCGGTGCCAGGGAGCTGAGCTGCCACCTGCCCCCGGGCACCTGGGGCAGGTCCACCAAAATGTCAGCAGACAGACAGCCCAGGCAGCTGGACGCATGCATTTCATTTCCTGTTTGTTTGTATGCTCACTGCTCTCCTGTTACACCCTGATCAATGGCTTAGTCTCCACACCGCGTTTCCTAGAACTAAAACCAGAATAAGTGGGAGACACACAAGCTCCTGAGATTCAGTGTATGTCTGAAAAAAAACGGAGCCAGAAGGCAATCCGTGTCCGAAGTGTGTGAAATTCAGGTTAAATAAGCATTATGACCTCTGCTTTCCAAAGACGTGGACTACTTACTTCTAGGGATCTCCTTTTCCTTCGCTAAATGTGAGGGCAGGCTTTGGAGGAGGGGAGAGAAGCCACCACCAGAAAAGTCTCCGTACGCAGAAGGGATCTCCCGAGCTTTATCCGGAGGCCTGAGTAGATGCTGTTTAAGGAAAAATAAACAAGGGAGACATTTTAGAAGGAGAAGGCAGCATGATCCGAGACAACGACGTGGCAGAGGACATCACCGGAATCGAGAAGCATCGG